ACGCGCAGTCTTCGGCAGGGGGTGGCGCCTAGCGCGAGACAGATCGCGGGCCGATAGGCGACGCGAGGAGTATGCTTTATCCAATTCAGGGCGCCCAATTTTCCTAGCCGGGAAAGGAAAGGACAACAGTCGATCATGCAGCGAAATACGTGCAGTCATATTCTCTATCTGCTTGGCGCTGCACTCGCGTGCGCCGTTTGCCGCTCCGTCGCAGATTTCTATCGTTTTGTTGCTTGGTTTGCGCGCCCTACGCCTCTCTTGGCGTCGTCGTTGTAGGGCGCTTGCGTCGGGGTGTCATCGTCCCCGCGCTTCCCTGCTGGCGGGGGCTTGTATTTTTCGTCAGCGCGACGGCAGCGAGCGTAATCCATCCGATCCCAGCGTTTGGGCATGTTATTGTGCGGTTGTCGAGCTGCGAGCGAACCTGGCACTCGCCGGTCGCACTGACATGAGTAAATAACATATGTTCGTGTTAGCTCTGCGCGTCGAGTTTGGCCTTGCCCGGTGGGGCGCGAAGACCGATGCTTTGCATTCGCGGGCGCCTGCTCTGCTGCCCTGGCGCAATCGACATGTGCGTACTTTCGTTGCGGCCCCTCTGGATTGCGGGGGTCTCTGACCGCTCAAGACCGCCTACGGACGCTTCAAAAGGCGTTCCAAACAGCCTGAGAGGGCCCCCGAAAAGCCAAAAGCCTTCAAACCCATTTCCCGGGAATCGATGAATTTTGCCTTCTCGCTTTTCCCCTGCCGATGGAGCTGTCAAGATCGCTCCCGCCGCGTCCACGTCGGCACAAGCCTCGCACGTTTCGAGGCTCCACAGGGAGCTCCACCGAAGGCCACAACGGCTGCGCTTGCATGCCGTCACCGCGCCCATGTCGGCACACCCCTCTCACGCTTCGTGGCCCCATAGGGAGCCCCACCGAAAGCCGCAGTGGTTGCGCTCGCATGGCGCCACCGCACCCAGTTCGGCACACCCCTCACACGTGCCGTGGCCCCAAATAGATATACACCGAACGCCCCAGTGGCTGCGCTCGCATGCCGTCCCCGCGCCCAATTCGGTACACCCTTCACACGCGTCGTGGCCCCAAAGGGAGCTCCACCGCAGACCCCAGTGGCACGTTTCGCGCGGCGCCACCGCACCCAGTTCGGCACACCCTTCCCACTCTTCGTAGCCCCATAAGGAATCCCACCGAAGGCGGCAGTGGCACGATTCGCGCGGCGCCACCGCACCCACTTCGGCACACCTCTCACACGATTCGTGGCCCCAGAGGGAGCTCCACCGAAGGCCCCACTGGCTGCGCTCGCATGGCGCCACCGCGGCCGGATCGGCACAGTCCTGACACGTCGTGGCCCCATTGGGAATTCCACCGAAGGCGGGGCACATAACTACGGTATTCACACACATATGGTTGGGTTTTTCGCCCGGATATTTTTTGAAGGCAGCTTGGGGCCGTCAACGGGCGGCCCCCCCCGCTTGACACATGCATCATTACATGCACGTATGGGCGGGTGGTTGGGCTTGTGGTGTACGAGTGCTTGTGAAGAGATGTACTTGACGTCTGGATACATTATGTCACAGGTGGGTCAAATGTGGTGTTTTTTTTTTTTTTCTGGCTGTTTGGATGAAGGTGCGTGGATGAAAATATTCATACGTTCCAGATGGTAGTATGGACGAATGTATGTTTGGATAGGTGGATTGGTGTAGGAACACACGGGCGTATAGATTTGAGAGAGCGTGATCCACCGCCGCTCTGCTGTGGAAAATGTCCCCCTCTTTTTCCGGAACCCGGGGGTACCCCCCCCCTCTTCGAAAATCCCGCTCGCGGTTGTGAACCCCCATTCCCCTCCAGAAAACCGGGGGGGGGGGGTCACTACCAGATCGAGCCCCCCTTCTGTTCCAGAAAACCGGGAGGGGTCATTAAGTTATCGGAACCGCCCTCCCCCCTTCCAGAAAACCAGGGGGGGTCATTACAAGTTCGAACCCCCCCCCCCCTCACAGCCGGCAAACGACTCCCGGGTCCTCACCACCGTCCGCACCACATCCCCCATTGCCGTCCCCAGCGCCACTGTCCCCACCACCATTGTTTCCACTGTTCCCTCCACCGTCCCCACTATCCCCATTAGTGCTCCCACTAACCGTGCGCGGGCGATAATAAAACATACCCCCCTTTCACTCCCTCTATTTTTATTATCCTGTTCAGCAGGAGTTTATTGTGGAGGGGATCGCGGAGGCCGAACTTTCTAATCCACGGGGGAAGTTGCGAATCGAGGTTGCTATCATCTCATGCTGCTTAGCAACATCATCCAAAACGCAGAGCATGGCCATGGTGGTCTCACCACATCAGCTTCCGCAGTCTACAGGCTGCTAACGAGTGTTCTGCGAGCTTCTACAAGGAACTCGAGGCCAAAAGGTTCGAGGCTGAGACAGCAGAGCAGGATTCCTTCTCCTCCTCTTCCTTTTTCTCCTCCTCTTCTTCCTTTTCCTTCTCATCTCCCTCCTCCCCCCCAGGGCCCGAGCTTTTTTATCCCCTGTCTTTTTTATCCCCCGCCAGGCCCCACCATGGACACCCCTACATGCGATATTGAAAACGAGTAAATCTGAAACCTAAGGCCCCGAACCAAAAAAATGAAAATCGATCCTGGGGCAATCCTTTGTTTTCTTCCTTCTCGCACCCTTTGTCGTTTCCCTTCCTGCTAGTACTACTACAGCTACTTAGTCTTCTACTTCTTCTACTTCTTCTCCTACTACTACTACTACTACTACTACTACTGATGCTACTACTACTACCACCACTACTACTACGACTACTACTACTACTACCACTACTACTACTACTACTACTACTACTACTACTACTACTACTGCTACTATGACTACTACTATTACTACTACTACTACCACTACTACTACTACTACCTACTACTACCACTACTACTACTACTACTACTACTACTACTACTACTACTACTACGACTACTACTACTATACTACTACTACTACTACTACTACTACTACTACTACTACTACTACTACTACTACTACTACTACTACTACTACTACTACTACTACTACTACTACTACTACTACTACTCTTACTAGTACGAATTACTACTACTACTACTACTACTACTACTATTATTACTACTACTACTACTACTACTACTACGATTACGACTACTACTACTAGTACGACTACTACTATTATTACTACTACTACTACCACGACTACTACTACTACTACTACTTCTACCACTAGTACTACGACTACGAATATCCCTACTACTGCTACTACTACTACTACTACTACTACTACTACTACTGCTACTACTACTACTACTACTACTACGACTACGACTATTATTACTACTACTACTACTACTACTACGACTACTACTACGACTACTGCTACTACTAATACTACTACAATTACTGATATGACAGATTACCCGCATAGTAAGGATGAGCAATGTTTTCAAGGTTAGTTAGTTACCCTTGCATCCTTTCCCCTTCGGCCCCGCCGTGGGTCTTCCAAGGCACGACCTTCGAGGTCGTTCGAGTCAGGATTGTGCCGAGCGCCCGCTGGCAACTTGTAAAGCCACGAGCCCCGAGATCTGTCGAGTCGGTCTTGTGCAGAGCGCTTTCTGGCAAGTCGTATAGCCACGAGCATCGAGATCTCTCGAGTCAGTCTTGTGCCGAGCGCCCAGGTTCTCCATCATCATGCTCATCGTCATCATCATCATGATCATCAGAAATTGCCTTCACCAGGAGAATCCTTTAGTATCCCCGCCAGACCCCCGACTTTTAAAATCCCCCGGTGATTATTCTCGCCCGCGGGCGGTTACTGCCGCATATCCCCCACTGCCCCCACCACGGTTCCCACCACGGTCCCATTCTCCCCACCAGTTTACCCACGGTCCCCACCACTGCCCTTCTTCCACTGTCTTGTTCCCACTGTCCCCACCATTGTCCCCACCGTACCTCTGTCCCATTGTCCCACCACCGTCTTCGCCACCGCCCTCACCACTGTCCCCACCACCAGTGTCCCCACCACATTTCCACTGTCCCCACCACATTTCCATTGTCCCCACACCAGTTTCCCCACCATCACTCACCGTCCCCACCCAGTGTCCCACAGTCCCCCTCACTGTCCCCACTGTTCCCTCCATTTTCCCCGCTGTCCCTTCCAGTGCCCCCACCAGTGTCTCACTGTCCCTACTCTCCCCGCCATTGTCCCGCCACGGTCCCACTCTCCCCACTTCCCCCACGGTCCCCACCACCATCCCACTGTTTCCACCATTGTCCCACTGTCCACACTGTCACCGCCGCTGTCCCACTTTGGTGTCCCCTTGTCCCCACTGTCCCCTCCACTGTCCCATTGTCCCCACTGTCCCCACCCCCACCACTACCGTCCCCACCACTGTCTCACTGTCCCCACCACTGTCCTGCTGTCCCCCCGCCGCTGTCCCCACCACAGTCCCCACCACTGTCCGCACCACTGTCCCACTGCCCCCACACCACAGTCCCCACCACCACCGTCCCCACATTTGCTCCAGTATCCCCACCACTGTCCATCTGTCCCGGGGAGCAGGAATCGTTTGCCGGCGGCGAGGGAGGGGGGGGATTCGAACCAGTAGTGACCCCTTCCGGTTTTCGAGGGGGGTGGTTCGAACCAGTAGTGACCCCCCCTCGATTTTCGAGGGGGAGGGGGGGACGGGTTGGGAATCCCCAGTGACCCCGCCATCGGTTTTCGCCAGCAGCGGTAGAACACGCTCTTTCTGATGTTTTCACGTACGTTTGTAGGACAAAGCTGACTCGCGCCATAACCTAAGCGCGCGCGAATCGCGCGACGACCCTCCAGCCCCAAGGGTCCCAAAGGCTTCCAGCGCTTCCCGACTCCGGCCCTAAGCCTGAGGTGCCGTAGCTGCATCACGGGGCCTCCAGGGCCTCCCCCTGACCGCTCAAAACGGCTCTAGGGGAATGAATGAGCGACCAGAGCGGACCAATAGGGCATAGGCATAGGGGCAGCTCGAGCGCTTGCAAGGCGGCTCGAGACGATCTCAACAGCCCCCTCTGACTGGCCCAGCCTCCTCGTCCTCCTGTTCCTCACTCCTCCGTAGCCATTTTGGCTCAAGCCATCTTGTCTCAAGGGCAAGGGCAATGCTTATCCAGTGTACGTTCATTTCATTATAGTTGTCATGCTCCGTATATTTATTTTGGTCCTTGTGTCAGTTCCGTGCAAGAGCATTCAGTTGACAGAGTTTGCAGCGCAGCCGCGTGATTCCTCACAAGGCAATCGTTCGGAAGGCTGGTCGACGGTATCAGACCAGTCATCCGATCTTTATACACGGCGCTCTCTCACAATTAAGTCAAATCGAAATGCTTTTGTCGTTCTGACACTGCCAAGATCGGCATCTACAACCTTCTGTGACCGCTTGCGTGATGAAGAAGGTTTTGGGTGTTCTGGGGAATTCTAAACGCTTCGCGTAACACCACCAGCCCTCGCCCGTTCCGTCTGACGCCGCTTGTGCTTTCGCTTGCTGCTGCGACAAAAAAGTAACCTCACCAGCCCATCCAGAAACGATGCCCAGAGGAATTGCCGCGATCAGCGAAGTGGGCAGCACACAGAGGAAGGGTCCCCCAGTTGAGGCCTCTTGGAGCGTCTTGGGGCCTCTTGGCAGTCCCGGACGCCTCTTAGAGCGTCTCGGGTGCCTTGGAGAGTTTCTTGGGGCCTCTTGGGGGTCTCTTGGGAGCCTCTTGGAGGCCTCTTGGGCGCCTGTTGGGGCCTCCTGGGGCTTCCTGGGCGCCTCTTGGGGTCTCTTGAAGCGCTCTTGGGAGCCTTGGGAGCGCTCTTGTGGCCATCTTGGAGGACATCGATCAAACAAGAGGGGAGCATTAATTAGCGTTGCCCCTCGGGAGCCCAACAAGTCGCCTCTTGGGGCAGTTTTGTGGCGCTCTTGGGCGCTCTTGGGGTCGTCTTGGGGCTCTCTTGAGCCTCTCTTGACCCTCTTGGGCCATCTTGGGGCCATTTTGAGGCCTCGGATGGCCATCGAACGCGAAAAGGCGAGAAAGCCAAAAACATTGATTGTCCTTGGAATGATTTTGGAAGGATGTTTGAAGGAGTTTGGCCTCTTCGGGGAATCCTGAGGGAGCTCTTTGGCCACTTGGAGCCGTCTTGGAGCGGTCCTGGGGCCTCTTGGAGCATCGTGGGAGCCATCTTGAGGCATCTTGGGATATCTTGAGCCATCTTGGAGGTCATCTTGGGCTCTCCCAGGCGCTTTCGGAGTCATCTTGATCAGTGTCCCCCCCAGCCCCCAGGAGGCCAAGATGTGGTCAATCAATGATTTGGGCATTCTCGCCGAGGCCTCTTGGAGGTGCCTCTGGGGGTCCTCTTGGGGGTGTTTTGGGAGCCTGCTGGGGGCATCCTGGGGGCATCTTAGGGGCCTCTTGAGGCCTCCGACCACCTCTTGGGGCCATCTTGGGGCACCCTTGGGAGCCTTGGGAGCGCTCTTGGCGCCATCTCGCAGGAGATCGATCAAAGAAGGGGGGTCCCTTAATTACGGCCCCCCTCCAGGAGGCCAAGCTATTCTTGACCTCTCGATCCCTGTGGTGAGCTGCCCCAGCGACCGCAGGATTCCCATTCACAGTTTCTCTGCCACCTCTTGTCTCTGCCATGCCGGCGGGAAAGCATCACATGGGGACTCAAGTCAAGAAGACTCTCAAGCAGGCTGGGGGGGAAGCAGCCCGCCACAAAAACCACAACCTATGGCTGAAGATGCGGGCGCACATGCACTACGACGACAACAACAACAACAACAACAACAACCATTTTAAGGCTGTACGCTCTTACTTGCCCGCGAGTCATTCAACACGTATACCCTACACCCTCAATACCCGCCCTCTTCGACTTCGATCACACCCCTTTCGGGGGGATTATTTCTCTTTGCTGGGGCCGGCGGGCTTAGACGTACGGGCAAACCGGAACGGCCGGACAATCCTTCGGGGGCGTTCATCTCTCTGCCCGCCATTGGAATTGGCGCGGGCCCTGCAAGAGGAGGAGGGGAAGAACGAGGGAGAGTGGGAGGAAGGGGAGGGGGAAGGACGAAGGAAGAGGGAAGATACCACGTTGTGAAGGCGTCCTTGGCGCGTGCGTGGTTCCTGAGCGCCGAAACGCAATTCCATAATAATTTGTGAGGACGTCGCACGCGAGAGCGCAGTCCTGAGTACATTGTGAGGAAATCTCAGGCGGAAGCGGGGGCCCTGACTAAGTTGCGAGGAAGTCTCAAGCGGGAGCGCCGTTCCTGACCAAATTGCACGGAAGTCTCAGGCGGGAGCGGGGGTCCTCACTAAATTGCGAGGAAGTCTCAGGCGGGAGCGCCCATCCTGAGTCAATTGCGCAGAAATGTCAAGCAGGAGCGGGGGTCCTGAGTAAAATCCGAAGAAGTCTCAGGCGGGAGCGCCGTTCCCACGTAAATTGCACGGAAGTCTCAGGCGGGAGCGGGGGTCTTGATTACATTGCGAGGAAGTCTCAGACGGGAACGCTTTTCCTGAGTAAATTGCGTGGAAGTCTCAGGCGGGAGCGGGGGTCCTGAGTAAAAATCGAGGAAGTCTTAGGCGGGAACCGTTGTTGTTGTAGCCCGGGGGGCAGGGGCACAGTTTGAGCAGGAAGACTTTCCTTGAGAAAAAACAAGGTGCGAGCCCCGGGGGTAGCACTTCAATCGAAAAAAATCAATGTGCACCGGTGGGGGGGGATCAACAATAATTATTTTTCAAGAATGAGAGTTCAACAACAACAACAACGACATCAACAGTTCAACGACTATATGGAGGCTGCCGCCGACCAGCCCCTGACCGCCAAGGGATTCGAAACGATCTTGAACCACCACCTGGACCCCATCGAGCACGACATACAAGCAATCACAACCCATGGTGCCTCGCAAAAAGATTTGAAGGACGCTCCAAACCCGATCAAGAACGACATCGACGAGATGACGAAACGGGTAGTCTTGTTGGAAACAAACTACTCTTCCCGACCGGCTTCGGGAAGATCGGCTTCCGGAGCGTCCGTGGGCATCGACACGCAGATGAAACTTCCATAATTTGAGCGTGAAGTTGCTCGCCGGCGTAAGCCGGGAAGCAAACCCACAGGTGTTCGTATTGCCAACGACCTGAACGATAAGCGATCAATAACAACATTTTCTGTTTTTTAGATGGTCTTGATCTGTTCAGCACGGCTTCAGCATGGATGCGGGGCAAATTATCAGAGCGATATGGCCCCGTACCGCAGAACATGTACACGAGGGGAGGTGCAATTAATATCATATCCGCGGACATCTCGAACAGTTCTGACCGTGACACAACCGCGGCCCTCATCGGGAGCTCTCGTCTTCAACGCATTGGCAAAAATGTTTGGGCTTCGCCTGCCCGTCCGCCCACGGAGCGTGCGGCGCGCAACTTTTCTCCCGGATTGAATTATTCATGGAAATGCACATTCAATTCATTGTACATCGTCAACATCACCGACGCCTCGTCCAACGAGGTCACGGTGGGTGGAGAAGCCGCGCAGCAAACATGGTCCCAAACAGGGGAAGAGTGGGAAGAATTACGCGGCCACGCTGAACTGAATTTGGCTGACAATTGCGACGATCTTGTCATCGGGGCGCGGAGCGACATGAAAGGCCAGCCCAAAGGCAAGTCCAAGGGGCAGTAGGGAACAAGGCATGTGTCAGATCCGGTTCGCATTGTCGCTGGAGCCGCTTCGAGTGGACTCCTGGTCTTCCGAATGTTCTTCCTATCTTTGGGCGTGCGATGGGGATAGTTACCGATGCATCCACAAACTGGGGATCTTCTTCATATACATGTTCTACTTCGGGCGCATCTTCGAAAGTATCTTCGAGCACTGCGGCGCTAGGCGCGGGCAAAGATACCAAACCACATTTTCACCGACATATTTCGTCGTCAAGTTTCTACGTTAGTTTCCCCTCATCCTGCTCTTCTCCACGACCGCGGGGCATTTCGATGTGTCCGGCTAGATTGGCACAGTCTTCCACATCCGACCGTGCTCGGTTTAAGTCTCGCCGTGAAAGCGAGCCTCTTGGCACCCAGTCTCTTGAAACTAGGAGCGCTGGGGGCCTCCGAGGAGACTCCCGAATCAAATTAACAGAAATGACGAGGACAATCGTTACTGAGCGTATTGTGACTCTAGCTATGCAGGAAACTCAACTGCATGATTCAGGACATTTTGAACACGAAGGTTTTATGGTTTGCATGTCCGGGGAGACTGACAAAGATGAACGCTCGGTGGCCGGAGTCGGTTTTCTCGTGGCTCCATGGGCCCGCTGTGCTACAGTGGCTCTCCAGGCGATGTCATCGCGTCTGTTTTCGCTGCGAGTCCGGGCACAACACGGCGCATTGCTCAATATATCTGTCGGCGCCCCTCAGAGCGGGCACGACTGCGAGGTCCGCCAGGCGTTCTTCGTTGACTTGCCGCGAGCAGTTCGGCCGACGACGCAACATAGCACGACAATTGTACCTGGAATTTCTCTTGCTAAGCTGCTGCAGCGACGGCGCTGCGAAGATGCATGCATTGGCAGACGTTTGTTTGTGGCATGCGGCCTGCGCGGTTCTGCGCATCGGAGCCAAATATCGAACTGGCAACTTCTATTTGAAAATTGCGCGGCCACGGGCATGGCCATCGCGAGCGCGTCTTCGACGCTCCTCCTGAACAGCGCGCTTCGCACAGAAATCTTGGCGTCGCCCCCGTGGGCCCCGACATTGCCCCGCAGTGGTCTCTGTCGGATCGACCGCGCGTTGCGACGTGCATCTGTTCGCACTTGGGCCAGGTTCCGCACATCGCATCGGGGCGAAGCCCACAATGGCCACCGCTAATCCCACAGCCCTCCGAAGCGCCCACTTCCAGGGGGCCCGGGGCGGACCCCCTGGGCCCCATCGCAATTTTTTTATTTTTCTTCATCCACCCCTTCCTTCTTCTCCGTCGTCTTGGCAGTGCTTGGTTCTGTCCTTACATGGCCTTCGACCTCGCAGTCGCCATCGCGCGCTCTGTCTTTGCATTCGCGTTTGTGTTCTTACGCAGCCACCATTAACATCGTCGCAGTCATTGCTCCTCCTCATCAGCATCGCCATCATCATCGTCGTTGCTCTCGCCATCTTCGTCGTCGTCATCCCCCCCCACCCACCCCCCTCGTCGCCACCATTGCCCCCCCCCCCCCCCCATCGCCCTCGTCATCCTCATCCTCCTCGCGCCCCCTTTTCCTCGCACTCCGCCCCCTCCCCATCCCCCCCGTCGCCCCCCCCCCGCCCCCCCCTCGCCCCCCTCCATCTCCACCAGCGATTCCTCGACTGCGCCGAGCCGATGCCGCATCGGACCAAGTTTTGTCGCCACGTCCGAATCACCGCGGGCCCCGCGCCCCCGTCGGGCAAGCGATGGCAACTGGCGCTCGCGGGGCGC